CCCATAGGCCCAGATGAGAAAAACTGATAATATCTTTGGTTCAACCTTTGGGTCAGTAATATCAGACAAAACAATACAAACGGAAATAATGGCCTATGGCAACGTGTGAAAAGTTTTCTTTGTGAAGGGGATCTTGACTCTGCATATATTGAAAGCTCTCTCATCAGGAGATGACCTGATTTTGGTTGAGCTTCTGGATAGAACAGGTCCAGTATTGGAAAGTTTATCCCCAAGAAACTGTAAGCGAGATAGTTGGTACTTTGGCGTCATTCCTCCTAGAACAACGATTCATCAACTCCATCATCCCATGGTTGCATCAGGCAAGTTACTATGCTCATTATTTTAATTAAACTTAAGTAATTGACATCTGTATGCCCTGGTTTCACTCAGTTTTTGATGGTAATGCTGGATATATACAGTGGGCTTTTTGGATGGTTGAACTTAACAATACTAGTTGTGAAGCAAGCAAATTGCTATATGGTGCTTACCTAGGATGGAAAACTGAAAGTACATATATATTTCCATATATGTATCTCTTCTAAATTGGGTCTTGTATCTTATTCTACTGAGATAGTTTGTACCACAAGTTGGATAGTTTTAGCTAAAAGTTTAACTTGCTTAGGTTGTAAAGCTGATCGGTCATGTTAGCTGAGGCAGAGGTGATAATTTGTTTAATTATTTATTTAGTATATAAGGCATGTTCTATGCTAGCAGCATTTTCGTAAAAATATTTTGGACAAAACTCACTAGATGAAATTCTTAATTTTAGGTAGTGGAGTTGAGCACAATCAATGGACCAAATCTACTTGTTCCCTCTGCAAAAGCAAGGCATGAGTTCTTGTCTGCAGTTCAGGAGGCTTTGAACATGGAGTTTTCTAATCCAGTGGAGAGAAGATCAGTCGCTCAACTTGCCATGAAATTGCGTCAAGTATGGGGTAAGGAAACATCTTCCAATTATGCAGTTTCTTAATGCCTATATGATATGAAAGTACTAGTTATCAATCTGGTTTATGTGCGTATAACTTGTCCTACTAAAAGGAAAAAATTAAACTTGAAAATTACAGTTAAAGGCAAAATCTGTTTGTTCCCTTCTTACTTCCAAAGCAAGATAACGGTAGGAAAAATATAATATAAAAAAGCACTAGTTTCAATTGAAAGTTTTATATAACTAAAAAATTTAAGAAATTGCATAGTTTCTTTCTAGAATTTTTTCTTTTTCTCATAGTAAATATACTTCTAAATATTATTAATGATAGGCTTACATAGCAAGAAGCATTGATACAAGTAAAAGTTTGAAGTGCTAGACTGAAATTAGTTAGTTAAGAAGCTGTTAAACGATTATAACTGATATCATGATAAGGTATTAGATTCGTTAGAAAGATGTATAAATGGAAAAAGAGATGCAAAGAAGTGACATAGGTGGGGAACGGGAATGGATCGTTTTAACTCCTGGAACCTCACTCAACGTGACATCAAAAAATTTAACCACCTAATTTACCTCCTTCCCCTCTCTCCTCCTCCCCCTACTTGAAATACACCCAACAGTATGAATACAAATTCAAGATAATTGAAAAAATAAAAATAATAAGAAAAAAGTCACAGGTTACCTAATAAGTCGATTTAGATTTTCTGACTCAACAAGTCTTTCGAAGCTCCCTATCTTAAAAAACTTGAAGAACACTCTCAAAAATTAGTCAAAACTAATTTAGAAACAACGCAAAATTTTTAAAATTTTATTGAACTCAAGTTGTAATTACAAGCCTTTTTATAAGTTGTATTTTACTAATTCTATTCGGAATAAGATTATATATTCTTACTTGAACTCTTAAACATAATTTAACTAAAATACTTAAACAAAAACATTAAAATAATTAAGTTTTATCTAAACTTAATTAAAATAATAAAAAATAATTAAAATAATACTTAAAATATTCTCATCTCCTTATCCAAATCTCCATGTAGCTTTATCTTCCTTGAACTTCCAATTTGAGTGGAATTTTGTTATGTTTCCGATACCAAGATCTTGTCACTGTGTGCTTATCTGAAATTTCTGGTTCCATAATCTGCTTCTTCTCTTTGTTGCGATTTCTTGAGCGGATTATTTTGTGAAGATAAATTACAATTCATCAAAAAGAGGTGCTACCTTGGATTTCATTAGAGAGAGTTCCAATCTCGTACTTTAAAATAATATTCTAACTTTTTTCATTAATAGTAAGCACTCTCCTTTATATAGAGATTACAATTTTTATTTAAGAATGTAAATTTAATTAGAAATACTCTATTAAAATATTGAGAATTTTACACTATTTAAGAATTAAATACTAATGAAAAATATATATATTATTTAGGAATTTAATATTAATTAGAATTTCAACTATTTAGAAATTTAATACTAATTAAAATTATATATTTAATTGAACGTCAATTTTTTATGCTTGCTGCACTTTCTATATTTGTATTCATTACAAATTTCATCTTCAATTTTGCACTTTAAACACATAGGATAATTTATAAAAGTCCTTGCAACTTAAAATTGTAGGAAAATTAGGAAAAAATGGAGAAAAGAACCCCAAATAGGACTTACCATGTGCCTGCCAGCCTAACCGTGCTGGTGGCGTGCAGGATAGCTTGCGCTTGGCGTGCGGAAGCTTCCTCCTCGCGTGCGCAGTCGCCTGGGCATTTGCCTGGGTGCGATGGCACATGTGTAGCTGCTACATCACACATGTGCCATCGCTGTGGCGTGCGGTTACTGCTGCCCGCACGCCCTGTGCGCTGCCTCACATGGGAAGCAATCCTGCGTGTGCGAGTGATCCTTCCTACTCATGTGGTTGCCCGCACATGTGCCAAAGGAGGGTCACATGTGTGACATGTGTTGTCTGCATGTCTTTTCAAACGGGTACCTTCTTTTGGGCTTCAATTGTGATCTTGTTAATCACCCATTCTTGTATTAAGAGATTGAAAATATTTTAAAACTTCTTGGTCCAGCTTCTTGTAATTGGACCTAGGGGCAATTGAATTTGATTCTGATTTGCCAAAGTCCATCTTGGACAATTGTAGCCTTTCCTTCTTGAAACGGAACAGGAATTAAGGATGACTTGCTTGCAGCTTCTCCTTTGTCAGCACTTTGAGTACTTGTTATGTTTGGGATCATGTCAAGAAAGTTATGCATGAATGAGGAATTTAATCTTTCTCTCCTCTACCTCTTAGCCTTCTTATATTTCTTATCTTTCTTCCCTTTCCCTTCTTTGCCAATCTCTGAATGCCCAACAGATACAACTCGGTAATCAAGCATTGCCTCTCCTTTCCCTTCTCTGCTAATCTCTGAATGCTCGACAGTTACAACTCGGTATTAGGCATTGCCTCAATAAAAGAGAATGGTAATAGATGAAAGTAGTTGTAGACAGTGATGTTGATAGAATTGATAAATGGTGATTGTGATGGAGGTGAGGTTGGTTCATATGATGAGTTGTGGTGCTGCCCACTTAATCAATTTGCTTGTTATGGATATCCATTATATCATGGAAAGCTACACAAGTAGTTATAATAGTGATGGCAATTCCAACTAGGGAGGGTATCATTTTCATTAACGGGGATTTAAAATTGAGTTTTTAAGCACGTCTAGAATGTTGGAGGCATAATTACGACTAAGCCAAGCTAGCCAATGATGGAGCTATAAAATCTCTTGGCTAGTCTATATGCCTAACACTAATGAAATTAGTTTAAATAATAACTATGACAAAGTAGTGATTGTAGGGATGATTGTGATTTTTATTTGTAGATTTAAGTTAATGGTTGTTATGGTTAATAATGTAGGACAATGTGTTTATAAGTCCTTTTATCTTATTTTAGTATTTTTGTCTTACTTCACTAAATATTTAGATGATAAGGTTTTTATGGATATTGTAAGATATTACTTATACTATAGCGGGTAATTTTTTTCACCTTATGAGAGATGAAAAAATGTTACCCATCTTAATAGTGTTCTAAAAGGACCAAACTATTTTCAATTTATCTTCATTTCTATTCCTTGATAAGAATGAATAATGACGATCACGAATGACAAGGTTGTCATTAACACCATCATTGTTGTCATAGTTACTACTGCCACTGTTGCCATCATCATTGTTATCATAACCTTACTACTACTGCCATAACCACTATTATTATGCTATTGCCTCTATCATCTTTGCTGTCTTTCATCATTGCTACTTTTGTTTTTACTATCATTGCTATTATTGTCACCAGTACTATTCTCACTTTCGTCACTTTAATTATTGTCACCACCACTCTTACTATTGCCTTTACTATTGTTGTTGTTATCGTCCTTATTATATCCACCAACACCATTACCATTGTTGCATCCGCTAGCACTATTTGTGTTATTTCTATCATTATACCACAGTTATTACCACCATTGTTCTAACCATTATGCTTACGTCCATTTAACCATTGCTACCACCATTGTTCTAGCCATTATGCTTACGTGCATCTAACCATTGCTACCACCCTTATTGTTGTTGCTACTGCTGCCATAATCATTGTTTTTATTGTCGCTTTCATACCAAATGTGGGCATAGTTGTCATCACTATCATTTTAGCATTATTGTTACCACCACCTCCATTTTAGCTGCCATTACCAACACTATTTCCACTATTGTCGCTCCAATAGTTACTGCTGGCAGCATCATTGTAGTCATTGTTGCTGCTTATCTGTCACTATCCCTATTACTGTTATTCTCCTCCTATTGTCACCACCACCTTTACTATCATTGTTAATATGAAGTAAGAGAAAAGTGATACTAATCCTCTATAATATTACTTTTTTTCTTCCTCAAATGCTCAAAACGTTTGACAGCATAAAAATATTCTCTATGAGAAACTTATCCTATATAGCTGCTTTATCTTAGCAAACTTAATGCCTGACAATGAGGTACTAGCATTTGTTAATAAAGCAATTTGAGTAGTTTGGGACAATGGGTATTCTGGAATCCACATGGTATTTGATCTTGTTTAAAGTTTAGTCTTATTATAGTCTAATAAAATAATAACATAAAAGTTGTAAGACCATCCTTACCCAACATGATTTCATGTCTTGTATAGTATGTAGTCAAATACAATGATAACATATCAGTTTTTTTTTTCTGAAGTAAAATATAACGAACAGCAAATTTCACAATTTTGCAGGAAAATGCGCCTGAATATTGGATCTTCTAAGGCATTGCTGCGAGTCATAAGGTTTCAGTTGCGTCTTGGAGCTTATCAATCGTTAGGTCCTTGGATGTAATTTTGGATCTCTTATCTTTGGAATCTGATTAATCATCTCATGACCAAGGAAAAGCTTTCCTAATTATTATGACTCTTTTGGCGCCATTTTGTGTTCTGTAAAGTCCAGAGAACGTTGTTGTCTCTTTTTCATGGGCTTTTCTTTTAGTGCATTTCTATTGATTATTGAAAGCATTTACTACGTTTACAAATTAATATTTGAAGTAATAATCTCTCTTCGCATCGTCTTTTCCTTCTTCCTGGTTCAAATCATTCTGTGACAACACATGCAAATTCATAAAATGATCTCGGTAGAGATTTATACAGGCTCCCTTTATACAATTGTGGATTACACTATGATCCATATATACAGCTAGTTATGCTTATGTGGTTTACTCTTTAATTCCAAAATGAGCAAACTTGCCAAATGCAGAATGGACTGAAAAAACAAGTGGTGGTGTTATTGATGCAGTTCCCATTAAGAGAATACAATAACAAGCATTTGAATAATCAAAACTCTCACTTTTTCTAGGTTTCATTCATGGGTATAAGTGCTTCACTGAATCTGAACGCCCAAGTAACACCAAAGTGCATCTCAACCTTGGAAAAAATAGAACCACAGCAACAATTTGCAGCTGTAGCAGGGGAAAAAGGAAATAGATGTTCAAAATTATAAGTGTGCTAATGCTTCAGAATTGCTTTAGACACCTCATATTTCACTGGAAAAGGAGAGAAATCCATAGCATTTCAAAAACACCAAAATGGATAGATCTCTTATACAATTGCAGCTTCCATCCATATTTGGTACATGTTCATTGTTTTAACTTTTGGTGGAAACTGTTTTTTTATCAGATTGTGAAGAGGGAGGAAGGCTGCAGGGATTCCAACCATCCGGAGGTTCACTCTTGCTTCTTCCATTTCCTGGTTTCTTCCTTCCCGCTTCCTCTTCTTTATTTCTGTTACTTCTTGTGCTTTTAGCAGTATATGGTGAACTGCTTGCGGCTTCATATAGTGTCATGCCACTGCTTGCAGTTCGAAGCATTGCCTCATCATGGTTTCCTTCCTCGAAATGAACAGTCTCAAGTATTTCCACCACTTGGTTCATAAGTGGTCTCCCTTTAGGGTTTTGGCTAAGGCATTGGTATGCCAAATTAGCTACTTTAAATGCAGTTTTAGCAGAGTATTGCCCTTCCATTCTAGGATCTAAAATCCTCAGAAGCTTCTTATTATGGTTCAAGAGCGGACGGGCCCACTCAACCAGGTTATGTTCTCGGCTAGGTCTACTCTTGTCCATTGCCCTCTTTCCAAGGAGCATCTCAAGTAGCAGCACACCAAAACCATAAACATCACTACGAGCTGTTAAATGCCCTGGAAGGATCAATTACATATTTCAGCTCACAAACTATCTTTGTTTATCAAGGTAATCCAATGATGTTACTTACATGGGGTATTACACAGGAAAAATGTTAGTTGAGTGCAAAAATAGGTACAATGGACGAACTTATAACAATTAAGTTATATCTTAATGAGAAAAGTGAGTTACTTTTCATGGATATCAAGATGTGTTTTCGACTCGGAAGCAATGTAACCTTATTTGTTTTTTTTCGTTTTTTTTTTTGCTTCCACCTATCTATGCAACAAACATGAGTACTTGCAAAAAAAAATTTCTTTTCTCGGTGGCTATAAAACAGAAATAAATTGACATATCTTCTAATGGTTACTGATTTGGATTACTAATCTGCCATCTTGGGAGTTATAATGAATATGTAAGAAACTTAAAGATTCCACATGACATGAAATATTTGGTACAAATTGTCGGATAAAACCTACTTACCAGTCATTACATATTCAGGAGCAGCATATCCATATGTGCCCATCACACGCGTTGACACATGGGTCTGGTCTCCCATTGGTCCATCCTTTGCAAGCCCAAAATCCGAAAGCTTGGCATTAAAATCCTGTATTTTGTTACTGCAGTTTCAGTAAAAACATTTTTAAAAAATCTCCATTGAAAACAGCTTTTAATGGACACTTATTCATCTGCTTCATTTGAACTAAAGCCACTGGTCCACTGGCTATATATATTTTCTTTCCTTGAAGAAAACAATAGCATTTCTCTTCAACGACCTTTGAGGGAAAAAAACATTCAAAATTGACTCAAAATAAAAGCACATTCTTTCAGATGGCTAGAAGTTCTAAAATTTTCCAGAAATGACACATATTTGACTGTTATAGGAACAACAAAAAATTAGTAAAGCAAAGACAACCAACCGCATCCAGCAAGATGTTTGATGTCTTGAGATCCCGGTATATAACTGATCTTTCAGCAGTGTGAAGAAAAGCAAGCCCTTTTGCTGCATCCAAAGCAATCTTCATTCTTTTTGACCAAGTCAATGTACAACCCACCCCTTCAAGCCAGAACAAAAGGATGAATCAGAAAGAGCATTCCTTTTTATGTGGCACTCCTAGATATGCATGCAACTTTCTGGTAATTTTCAGCAGGAATAGTACTTTTAGGAGATTTTAAGAATTGAAGAAATAAGCTATTCACATAAAGGAGTATCAAGGCTGCCACAAGCACCTGAGCATAAAGGTACAAAAGTAGTTCAATTCCTTTAGAAATTTAATTGAAAGTTAACTCTCCTGTTACCAAAGGCCAGCACATGACCTGTGAGTAGGACTCGCTCTGATCTCATCTGTTTTGACTGTTCAACTCGGTTTGACCAATCCAATTCACCCAAGCCATTTTAAGATTTCAAGAACTGTTCTTCCCCGATTCAGACCTATTTCTAACATTTTTGACACAATTTCTGTTCTTTTGAGCTCTGTTTAATCAGATTCACACTATCTATGATTGATTCTTTTTTTAATAGAAAAAAGAAACTAATACTCAAAGGCAGCAAGGGGGTGGCAACCAATTTCCCAAACATTTACAAGTTTAACAAAGAGAAAAGGTCAACAAGATCTGCAAAATATATCCCATCCAATATAGAGTGATCCTTAAACAAGACATGTAGGGTTCTAAGCCGATGATCCTCTACGGAAGTAAAAGAGGAGTTTCCGAGCGCTATATTATTCCTCTCTTTTCAAGTGCCAAAAGATGGCATGGGGGATAATGGCTAGAAATTTCTTTCTATCCTTTGCAAAACCTGGCCAGGTCCATTGTTCGCCCTTGATAGAGCCCCTGATCATGCAATTGAGGTTAAGTACGTTGAGAACCGCTTTCTAGATCCACAGAACCAGATAAGAAGATCGCTTGGGGACTCATTATTTCCAAGACATAAGAAACATCAGTTCACTAAAATTTTTCCTCTCCTTTTGAGTTGTCAATGGTTAAAATACTTTCCTAAACTGCCTCCTGCGTTAAAAAGCAGTTCTAGGGAATGCCTTCCTTTTCCAAACTTGCTTCTAGAGGAAATAGTGCAAGATAAAATGCTTATGAAAACAAGAATTTCGAGATTGTTCAAAAACTTTAACCCAAATACAGGTCTATAAAGGTTCAGCTCCAAGATGAAAATAAGGTACAAACTTGTGCATTTCTAAACTTGTCTTAGCTACAGAATTTCATATTCCTTTCCAATTGTTTGTTTTTATATTTGCCTTTACTGGCAATGAAAACCTGAAATTTCCCAAATTTCCTTCTGGATGTTCCAAATCCAAGCTTGTGTTTTGTGATCTTTCGACACTTCAAAACTTGAGATATGTTTTCTTTTTTCAACTAGAGGGGTATCACGTGAAGGAGTTTACCTAGATGTGTTCAAATAGATTAGAGATTTATTTAATCAAGTTTGTCATTTTTTTAGTAGAACGGATAACATAAGGAGTTCAGTCTTTTCCTTCTATTGGAAGATACCTCCCTTAGCTTCTGATTTTTGTCTTCTGAATAATATTCCTTCTTTTATAGAATTAAGAATTTTAGTAGTATTAGGATTTTTTCTGGGTTAAGCCCCTAATTGTGCAACTAGACATATTAACCCTAATTCATCCTTTATCAAATAGCATAAGCTATATACAGACCATATGGCTCAAGTGAGCTTTTGTAGTTCTAGACATTGATATAGAGAGAGAACTAGGGACTTGATTCAAAAAATGGTAAGGATGGCATATGCTTTCTGTTTGCTAAACCTATCAATGACATCACAATCTTTAAGGGCCACTAGATTCACATAAATTCTGCTTCCTTCACTAAATCCATAAAGTAATAAAGGAATCAATAACTTACTGCGGAAAAGATGTTTTTCAAGACTCCCACTAGCCATGTATTCATAGACCAACAGTCTATGTTCATCTTCACAACAGTAACCAATGAGCTTCACAAGATTTGGGTGACTGAGCTGTCCTAAATAGTTTACTTCAGCCTGCAAGAAAAGAAACGCAATAAAGAGATTAATAATTAACATAGTTAAATTATTACAATAATTCCTTAACAGCACTAAAGTAAATGATATTTAACTTTCCCCTGTTTTGGTTCTTTATGTGAGTTGAAGAAATCCAACTGTCAAGTAAAAAAGGAATATGATTTGACAATATATTTCTCTCCACCATTTATTATGTCACACTTTTTAAATCCATTGGTCATGCTTGCAGCCTATGATTGTCTCTTCCATTGTCTTTCCTTTACATCCTATCATGTTTTAAGCCAACATATTGGTACTAACCCAAATCTAACGTCTCATACTCTAATGCTTCCTTCGTAAATATATATTATAGAATTATATGAAATGGACCCGAGTTTACAGAGTAAAGTAGCCTCAGAAAAACTTTAGATCCATAACATCAAATATTCTCAAGAAAATAAATGCACTAAAGTGTACAGGAGAAAGGAACTACCAGCCATTCCCTGTCACCTTGGAATCCCTCACGATTAAGTTCTTTGATGGCCACTTGGGTGGTCTTGTAACCGGGCCTCACATTCTCATCTATGACTCCTTTATAAACAACTCCAAATCCACCTTCACCAAGGATGTAATCTGGTCGGAACTGCTTTGTAGCCAATCTCATCTCCTCATATGTAAAGATATCAACATTTGTGTATCCAGGATTTTCTAGGAGATCTTTGACATTCTTGGGAGCCAAGGGAGTGCAGCCTCCAGTTTTAGTCCCTGCCGATTCTTGCTTTTGTGATTCAGTTGGAAGCATGGCAGAACCCAGTCCTGATTGAACTGGATTCACAAGGAAAATAATGCTGTTAAACCACATCGTATTGAGAAACCACATCACACACAACAAGCACACAAACATACAGGTAACTGAGCGTCTGAGCATATATGCAGTAGCATAAAGATGCCTACTTCAAGTACACAGACAGGCAGATGAGACAAGCATTTCAGCATGCATCATCACTTCAATACTAGTCTTCACTTTTCTTTGTGAAAAATATATACATATGACCAGACAAGAGGAAGAAAAAGACTGCACCAATGGAGAACAAGAGATTTTCCTAAATGAAGAAAATAAACAAGAAAAGAAGAGAGAACGGATTCCAATGCAGAACCTTAGACAAAACTATTTGCAAAAATAGACAAAAAAATATTGCTATAAAGTCCATGTGCCTTAGAGCAGAAAGAGGAAAAGAAAAACGGTCATCCTACCCAAAGAAGCATAGAAGAAATAACACAGTTGTAAATAATTTCCACAAATTTCATTTTGCTTAGGTTGAGAAAAGGTTGATAGCACAAACTATATAACTAACAATTTTTTGTTTTTCTGTTCTTGCCTACCACCATGCAATCTGATGAAGATTCAAATTTACAAATTTCTTCAGTTGATTTTTGAAAGTTAACAATGCTGCCCCTAAAACATTGCAGCTCTTGACTAGAACTAAGGATACTGAACAGAAACCTGAGCGGGAGATCGGATGGGCTATGCTTAGGGACCATAACTCATGATAATAAACAAAATCACCGTCAAAAATATATCATCAATTTCAAATTTAATCAGCTTCTCATAAATTCATAATCTTAGATGGCAGAATACGAAGTGGTACATAAACAAAAGTCGTGCATTATTAACATCATAACTCTACAAAAACACATTCATTTAATTTGCTTTCAAACCCTCAACCAACTTGCAAATAATATTCAAAACTAGAACTTTCCCCTTCCCCCCACCTCTCCCGCCCCTTCTTAGGATCCGAGCAAGAAAAGAAATTAAAATGAACACAAAGAAACAAATAATGAATATGATGATCCTAGTAACTTCCGATACATAATTTAAAAATAAAAAACAAAAAAATAGAAACAAGCCCAAGGTTAAATTAACGAGCATCTGGATAATAAATAGAGTACCTGGCATCTGTTCTCGTTGCTGTTGATTTTGATAAGACGCTTTCTGGTAACGATGATAATGACGATGCCGTTTCTCTTCCTCAACACTAAAGCAAATCCCCATGAAATCAGATTCAAAATCCAGGCCGGTCTTTGGATTCACATTTCAATCTTCGCATTTTCCTTCAACCTGACTTGCTTGGAAAACTGGGCTCGGATCTGATCTGGGTATGCCCGAATCTCGATTGGGTCGCCGGGAATTCTAAAGATAATCGACAAGAGCCAGACTTTCGACTATGACAGACAACAAATAAATTTTAAGTAGATAAAAAAATTTCAGAAAAGAAAAAGGGGGAAGGAGGAGAGAGAAGTTCAAATGTCGGAGAATGATTCCGTTGGAGTTGATTTTAGGAGTAGCCGCCAAAAACGCCAAGCCAAGAGCAGCCCGACCGACCTCCTTCCAAGCTTTCTATTCCTACATAAATTAGTTTATCCTTTAGTTTTCATTGTTATTACCATTTTGCCCTTCTGTAAACCACTTTCAAATGTATTATTTCTTTATTTTAATTTCTAGTAAATTCTAATAATTTTATAAATTACAAAAAATTTATCATGTATTTACAGAATATATTTTTATACATATTTTATTATTATTTTATCTTTACAATTAATCTTTTTTACGGTATAAATTAAAAAGTTTTATTTTTTTAAGCTTCTTTAACTAAATTATTTTGTTACATTGAGTTTTTTTTTTTTATTATTTTACAGTTAGCTAATCGATACATATATATATTTAGATATTAATTTGAATTTATCAAAATTTTAAACTAAAATTTTTAAATATTTTTAGTGGATACTTGAGATAGTTTGATATATACATTATAAATTTAAAAAATATTGTTAAAATAATTATTTATTAAAATTATTCTAGTTAAAAATTAATTAGTGTTTGGTAAAATTAACTGCACAAATAATTATTACTTTAAAAAACAAAAATTTTGTATTTAATTACAATAAACTCTAAAATTTTAAGTGTAAATTTTCAAAAAAAATTATTATTTAAAAGCTATACATTGTAAATTAAATATGTCAAAAATAAATTTTGACATTTGATTTTCACTAAAAATGTCTTGAGTTTTACTTATGTAATTATAAAAATATCATTTATACGTAAAGAATATAATTAAAAGTACGTTTAAAAGTGGTTTTGTTTAATAAAATTAAATTATGGATTATTAAATTTTGATAAAATTTGTTACTTGTTATAATTTATTTCATAATCTTTTTGCTTACAATTGAATTTTTAATGTTCTTGTAAATTTAAAATATGTTATTTTCTTTTATTTTGAAACAAAAAAAAAATTATAATAGTTATATTATATGTGAATGCTTTTAAAGCATGTAAAAAAATAACTCTAAGTAATAAATTAGATTAATCCATTAATAATATTATTATACATATTTTTATTACTTTTAATTTATTAATTTAATTAATTAATTAAAATTATTTTTTTAATTTTTTTTAAGTATTTAAATATGAGCTAATTATTTTAATTTTTAATTAAAAACTTCAAAAAAATTTAAAATACGTAAAAAAATATTAAGGCTAAAATTATACCAAAAAGAACATCAAAAACTAAAATATAATAAATATTAAATCTTGATGACTAATCAAATATAATTTTATTAAAATTAAATTATAGCATTTTAAGAAATAATAAATTAAACCTCAAAACATTTGCATGTAATTCAACATTTAGGAGATTTACGTATGCCATTGTGCAAGGTTATCGAAAATGAATGGCATTTTAGTAAAATATGATATTTCAAAGGGCATTTTCGGATATTCGAGTGGTTAAGTTCGTCGTTCAAATTTACTTGAACTTTAATTTGTTTTGGAGGAGTCATGCTCCAAATGATTGGAGGGTGGGGTTTGGCATTTAATGAAAATATTGTCGTGTTATTTTGGAGGTCAACTGATAGATTTAATATTTTATTATAATACCAGAATTAATAACAATAAATTAAAGATTTTACATTATTTAAATTATGAATAATCAGGTAATTTAACCTAATTAAAATAATAAAAAATTTGGTAAGAGTAAATTTTTTATGTATAATAACCTTGTACATAAAACATAGGTAAGATTTTAAAGTAATAAAAATTAAATATAAAGGAGAGAAATAAGTATATAGAACAACCAAAAAAAAATTATAAAAAAAAATGGTAAAAGTAAAATTTTTATATAATAAAAATAAACAGATAGAAATATCATATTTATGTTCCTTTCGGTTTTTAATTCTACTAATTTCACTTTATTAAAGATGGCTTATTGGACGGGTATGTTATTTTTGTATCAATCTTATTAATGTATATTTTTAATTGAAAAAAAAAAACCTGTAAGAAATTTAAATAAATAATCAAAATATAACAAAAAATATTAAGTCTAGTTAAAATAAAAGATAATCGAAAATAATAATTAAATATAATCTACCCAATAGTAAATATAAAATAAAATTATAAATATACAATATTAATTATTTATTTATCTAAATTTAATTAATTTGAGTATAATTGAAAGTAAAAAATTTATTAATCATAAGGATAACGATGCAAATAGGAAACAAGTAGGTCATTAAGTCCATTACATGTCTCTATATCCATCTCGTGTTTATTAATTTCTATCTATAGATGTTTTATGCAGTATTAATTACGAGTTTTACCTACTCTATTTGCCTAAATTGAAATAAATTAGTAAATAACTCCCTCTCACACTCTTTTTTATGTTTTATGCATTATAACTACACATGATAAATGTGTAATATTGCATGAGTTAAGAAATAGTGAAATTCTGTTTTTATATATATATATATATAATTATATGAGAATTGTTAAGTCATATTGGATCATATAAATCTTGTAGAATAAGAGGAGCAAGAAACTCAAAGTTACAAACATCAATCAAGATTATAAAGTACCCTTTGAGCTAATAAATGGATAACCATGTTAAATCTCTATAAATTCATGAATAAGTAATTAAAAAAAATACAAACTACATATCAAATATCATCAAGAACAAGACTCAGTTCGAAGTAGGGCATTAAAGTAAATTGCATATACTTTAGGCATTTCCTTCCATTTGTATTGAGTTTATACCTCTTTGTTGTACCACTTGGTTATCTAAACATGATAGTTAATGCTTCAACTAATTTAATAAGTGAAGATATTGTGATTAAAGTCATGGGTACAAGGTCACAGAACCTCTATTGTTCCGTGCAAATAACCACTAATCATGTCTAATTATTTTCATTAAGTGAGACATCGTAATTTATTTTAAGTATATCAACATGTAATGAACACATCTAGATGATAAATTATTCTCTTTAACCCATGTATTTCACTTACGTGGCCAACCATACTATTAATTGTTATATGATTTTTTTGACATGTCATCTCTTAATCAAATCATAAAGAGACACCCAATTTAACATGATGAAACCATTGGTTTCTACACCATAGCTCCCATAAAATATAAAGCAATCATGAAAGAGTTATCAAGGTAAACATAGGAAGACATGTAGCAAAGTTAATTCATTATTGTGAGTTGTATTATCATATGAATAAAGATGTATTTATCACAAACTAAAAGTTGTAGATATAATGACATCAATTTATTTGTAACAAATGGTATCTAACTTTTTAGCTCTTTTTTTTTTCAATTTAGTCAGTGGTATTTAGACTGTCATAATCATCCTATTAGTTTTTTATTTTTCTTTTAAATGATTCCTTTGATTGACTTATGTGTTAAAATATATGAACAATTGATATGTTATCACATTATGATAGCTAATAATGTAACGAAAAGACCCAAGGCCTTTTCGTTTTCTAGCTACATGGTTGTCCCACCCTGATTTCCCTAACTTAGTTAGGAGGAGTTAGAGTAACACCCTTTTCCTTTAGGTTAACGTTAAAAATTTTATTTCTTATGTGCATGATTGGAACGTGAACGTGTTTGGCCATGTCACTAAGAGGAAATGCATTCTCATGGTGAGATTAAATGGGATCCAACGGGTATTAAAAGAAATATCATTCTGATAGGCTTCAAGAGCTAGAGCATTCTCTGAAAAAGATTCGGATGAGGTGTTTTTGCAAGAAGAAATATTTTAGATGCAAAAATCTAGATGTAATTAGATTTTCTTAGGAGATAGGAATACCAAATACTTTTACTTTCAAACCATCTCAAGGAGGAAAAAAAATAAAATTAGTATGTTGAAAGATGAGATGGTGTTTGGACTACGGATGGTGAGTAGCTTAAGAGGATTACATCTTCTTTTTTTAAGAACTTGTATATGGCAGATGAAGGACACGTTTCGATGTATCACGTGAGGGGTTCATTCCCAAAGCTTACAAATGTTATAGTAGTTAAGTTAAATGTTGAGGTGACGGAACACGAAATTCACAATGTGTTGTTTGATATGTACCTTATGAAAGCCCCTGATATCGATGGTCTTCAAGCGGGCTTCTTCCAAAATCAATGGGGTGTTATGGGTGACTTTGTCTGTGTTATGATCAAGAGAATTTTCCAATGTGAGCAGTTGCATGTTGATATTAATAAGACCCTTATTATTCTCATTCCAATAGTGGTTAAACCAAAGAGTATAAAAGAGATTTGAGTGATTAGTTTATTAACAGTTTTATATAAAATTATTACTAAACTAATTGCTAATAGATTTAAGGATCTTGTGCCTTCTTTTATTGGTCCTACTCAAGTTAGTTTTATGGCAGGACAAAGTATCACAAATAATATTATTATTGTGATAGCTTAAAAATATCTTCGAGTTAATTTTTTATTTTTAATATATTTAATTTAGTCTTTATATGTATTTAGAAATATATAATATGGTTAAAAACATAATTTAGAGTCAGATAGAAAAAGGATTGATAAGGATGAAGAAGCTAGAATAAGCATGAAGAGATATGAAAAAAGGTGAGAGCCTTTTAAATGAAGTTGTATAATGAAAAGTGGTAATTTTTAGATAAAATAACATAATAGAAAGTAACAATTTTTAGATGAAATGACATGTGAAAAGTGGTAACTTTTAGATAAAGTGACATAACAGAAAGTGACAATTTTTAAATGAAGTGACATATGAAAGTGATAACCTTTTAAATAAAGTGACATAATGAAAGGTGACAACTTTTAGATAAAGTGACATAATAGAATGGTGATAACCTTTCTCTCGTGGCTCTCCACTCCTATAAATAGGGGATGAGAGAAGAGAGGAAGAGACATTCCAGATGAGAGAAAAATAGTGAGAAGCAAGTATATAGGTGAAGAAAAAAGAATGAGTACGAAGTGTGTGATTTTTTAAAGTATTGTGAGATTTTAGATAAAAATCTTGGAAAAATTCTACTAAATTTATGAGAGCAGAAGAAGAGGAAGAGAA